TGTCAGTGTAAATTACTTGTATCTGATGATGACAAAACCTTGTCGAAACGTAGTAATTTGCTGTTAAGTTAAGCTTATATTAAAGTTTTTTCTTCATTAACCACTCAAGCCGTCTCCAGCCATTATTAGTCTCAAAGTGGGTTCCTCGTCACCGAATTATCGTAGCTCTGTGCACGGTCCAGTTTTTTTTATGATGCCATACTTAAATCCTCGTTACAGTTCTCACAGTAAATGTATATTTCAAACCGTGAAGTGTGCAGGAAAACCAAAGTTAAGATGTCGAAATACAGAACATCAACCAATGGCATCAACACCACAACGACAGCGGACAAAGTTATCTCTGTCTGTGTAACGTCAGACTCGGAGGACCTTTATGCAGATAGCTACTGTCTAGGCTACACGTCTCTCAACTTTATACAGTGTAACATCAGACTCGGAGGCCCTTTATGCAGATAGCTACTGTCTAGGCTACACGTCTCGCTCAACTCCATACAGTGTAACGTCAGACTCGGAGCCCCTTTATGCAGATAGCTACTGTCTAAACTACCCGTCTCGCTCAACTCCATACAGTGTAACGTCAGACTCGGAGGCCCTTTATGCAGATAGCTACCACACAGACGACGAAAGTCATTACTCGTATGTACATTTAGCTATGTAAACAGTTTCTGGGTAGTAAAGCATGTTTTGGTACTATCTGACTGCTTTGGAACCAGGTACTCTTTAATTACCTTCATTAGTTGGAAAGCCAGCACTCTCTATTTATGTTAACTACTTGGAAAACTAGCATTCTCTAATATCTTAAGTACTTGGGAAGCTAGTATTATTTAATTATCTTGACTAGCTGTAAAGCTAATACTTTTTAATTACCTTACCCAGTTGTAAAGCTAGTAATACTCTTTAATTATCCTAACTGCCATTTTTACTCTAGTCCATTTCGACTTGCTACACTCTTTAATTAACCTAAATATTAGTAAAACTTAATCTTTTATTAGTACCCCCAAGCTCATCATGACTTGTTATAAAACTAGGGCTTTTCAATTAACTAACAAGTTGGAGAACTATTATGTAGTTTTATTGTTTTATATAGCTACTTGTAATCACGAGGTAAAACATTAGTCTAAGTATCCAATGTTTGTACGTACCCCTATTTCTTGGGTAAAGAAAGTATATAAGATTAATGACACTTCATTAGAACTATCTGTAAAACCAATCCTACCATTCAACAGGCAATACCACCAGGGGTAGTCATAGCCGGAGGTCTGTTTGTTTGTTTGAAGTTAAGCAAAAAGCTACACAATGAGCTATCTGTGCTCTGCCCGCCACAGGTATCGAAACCCGGTTTCTAGCGTTGTAAGTCCGCAGACATACCTCTGTGCCACTGGGGGGCAGCCGGAGGTCTATGTTTACAACCTTTTCTGAGAGTGGATATTCGCATATTGAGATTTTAAAACAATTAAGGACACATTATTTCAGATACGTGAGCATTTAATGCACTCCACTGAAGCAGTAAATCTCGTACAATGCACTCCATTGAGCAGTAAATCTCGTACAACGCACTCCATTGAAGCAGTAAATCTCATATAATAAAGCAGTTAAGATAAAACTGGCCTCCAAAACCCTAAGTCAATCCATAATAACACAACTGTTTGCAAAAGTACGGCTATAATTATGAAATATAACTCTTTTTACCCAAAGAACATAAGATGAAGCTGTGGGATATTTATTTGTAATGTTAATAATATAATAAACAAGGACTTGTGAAGCTGGGAGATATTTATTTGTAATGTTAATAATATAATAAACAAGGACTTGTGAAGCTGGGGAACATTTATTTGTAATGTTAATAATATAATAAACAAGGACTTGTGAAGCTGGGGATATTTATTTGTAATGTTAATAATATAATAAACAAGGACTTGTGAAGCTGGGAGATATTTATTTGTAATGTTAATAAT